GTGTGTGTGTGTGTGTGTGTGTGTGTGTGTGCACGCTTGTGTTATACAGAGTATGAAATTATTTTAAGCAACTTTTTCATGAGTTTTATGCAAAAGTAAAAACTTGTTAAGAGTGTATATTACAGCGTAGACAAAACTCGAGCACTGAGTGCGCCCTTCCCCTCCCGTACCGAGAGCAGCAGAACCTCTGCCTGATAATCATTACATTTTCAGTTCACCAACGTCAGGGAAAACGATCCAAACCATACAAGTCGCCCATCAATTTAAAGCCCAGGCTCTGCTCTTTCCAACAATATAAGTGTCACAGCTCTACGTGAAAAATTCACAGAACAAGCAGACAAGGAATAGCGAAAAAGGCTAAATTCTGGAACCATAAACACAAACATCTTTCATTTGTTTTTATGGCTTTAATCCACTTTGGAGTGATTTTTTTCCCACTTGGCTGGACCTGTACGTCTCCTGTGTTAAAGTTGGTACATTTAATATGCTAATTCTGTACTGTGGAGATCAAGAGTTGTTGTTGAGTGAAAAAATCTTTTGCTAACACAGCGTTGCCTGCAAACCGGAAGACCGGTGCGTGGCCAAAGAATGAGGAAGTGCTAGATCGGAAGTCCGTGGCATATAGGCTATTAGGGTTGTCCCAATACCAGTTTTTCTCAAACAGAGTATGAGTACTTTGGTTTGTGTACTCGCCGATACCAAGTACTTACTGAGTTAGAACTAACATTACAAAACAACTTTGAAAACACATTTCTTTTATTTAAAACATGATGGCTCTCCTTCCTTATAGGCCTACAGCCCCTCTGACTGGATCAAATCAAATATACAGCACGATGCATACTGTTGCAAAGTTTTTAAATTTAAAAAAAATTCTTTCAACTTGTATAAAAAAAACATGGAAGTGACAAACCTGTTTACATAAAATGTAAACTGGAACACATTCATTGGACTGTCGATACCTGTATCCTCATATTGTACGAGCATTTGTAAAAATGCTGGTATTGGAACCAATTTCAATACACCACTAAAAGCATTGCTGTGTTCTTTTGAGAATAAACAATAACAAAAAAACTTTTGTTTGTTGGACAAGACCTAAAATGTAGAAACTTTTTTGAAAATGAGCTGAATATAAAGAGGTCTCACCTTGACGTCAGAGAAGTACATTTTGAGCATGTTGGAGGAAGGGTAGCGAGTATAGAAGAACATCAGCTTGGCTTTCTTCAGATGGTTTGGAGATAAGCCCTCCTGAATCTGAACAATAACAAGTTAAGGAGCCAACAAAACCTTTTACAAGTACACATTATCTGAAAGTCATGAGCACATAAATGTAAGATTGAAGTCATCTATTACTACACGTTAAAAATGTTTCAGACATCTTTAATGGGCCTTTATACAACAATATGGCATTTTTCTAAGCTACTCGTCTGCAAAACAATTGATACTGATTCGTTTCATACAGTATACCGTTGACACAAACATGACCAGCTCGTAAGATCTCTTCCTCTTACTGGTTCCATAAAACCCAAACATAACTTTTGAGTCAATTTCTCTGCTCCTCTTTCTGCATTGAAAAATTGAAGTTATGGAATTTTTGGTCATGACGTCACAGATATTGGAAAGATCTTATGCAATCTGTTAGCACTTATAACATGTGATGTGTCTCAGCAGCAAACACATCCAGCTCAATATCTGTAGAAAACTAAAGTGGTCAACCTATGTTTGTGTTTTCTACAGGCAAATAGGTGTAACGCCATCTGAAATAGACCATTTTCAAAGTTACAAATGTTCGAAGCACCGGCATCACACGTCATTTGTAACAAATACCGAGGTTGCTCTGGAAATGTCAAAGAATTGACTAAATTCAACCAATAAATTTACACCATTATAAAGACCCGATGTATTTGCTCCAAACTGATTTGTATTAAACTTTTCTTCATAGATGAGATTTTCAATATATATATTTAAGTCATAAACCTGTTTTTTGAGCTGGTTTCATTAGCAATTTCGTACAAGAGTTGAAAGTGAATTTTATTATAAATCATTATTACACGCGCAGAAGTCCACACTTAACTGCTGGATCATTTAATAAAGTAGGAAGTTGACCAGTAAGATCTAAAATAATAAAATATTTTAA